ATATTGCTGTTATAACGCATTAGAATGAACAGACTTGTGCGCTTATTAAACTTTCTCGGTAATAGAAGGCCAGCAAGCTTACTCAAGATCATTTTTCTGTTGCTCAAGTAATAATAGTCAGAGTTTTTTCATTTTTCATTACATAGTTTTGTTTTACAGTGCACTGTGAAAGTTTCTGTTCTTTATAAGAATAACTTTCTGTACGCAAATTGTCCTTTTTACTCGCTGTGAAGTAGAGAACGACAACTGCCGACAGTGACTTCAAAGCAATTGACTCTTTTCGCGTAAACAATTGCTGCAGCTTGATATGACTGAGGCGAGCAAAACAAACCGTTATGTGTAATCTTCTGTATTTTCTAATGATTGGCTGAGTTTAATTTGCTCAAACGAAGACCCTTGCATGGACCATTTAAGCGTATTGAAAACAGCTAAATGGTGAATCATGGCTTGGCTGCCAAGTTGCAAATGATCTTTTGCTTTTAAGATCTTTAGGTAGGTTGTTTTCGCACAGAAAATTCATTTCTTCATTGTCAGCAACAAGTTTTTGAAATAACGTAACTTTAACTTTGTTTGAAGGAAATCCTTCTTACTTGTAGGTTTTTGACAGATGTTATGCGTGTTCAACTTGACAACACAAAGCAAAATTTATATACCTGCGTGAAACGATCAAGTTTAAAAAACTATAGTTGCTTTGAAACCGATTTTAGGGAAGATTTTACTAGATAAAGATTGACCTTCTTTCTGCTCACATATCAACGCAATAACTTCTACATTGATCGAGCGAGGGTTTTAAAATATCAGCTCGAGTGCGACAAAGTTCAGTGACTTCAAACACATTGTGGGCAAACGTTATTTTTTTTGGGCAAATCACTGTCCAAAGATATCTTGTTTTTGTGTCCACAGTGGAGCTCCGGACCTTATATATCCAGAAACTTCCTTATATGAACACATTTTGTGAATGCATCTTGAAAAAAATCGGACCTACGCATGCACATTTCCAGTACAACGGAAGGAAATAAATGTCTGTTTTACTATGAGGTATATTCTTCGAGAAAATTGTGTAACGATAAGCTTATAACCACAGCTTGCAACTCTTGAAGAAAAATTACCTGTTCTTTCCAGGTTATGAGTGGAAACATTTTATTTTTAGGCAAGAAAATATTTGAAATCCCGCCATTTTTTCAAACCCGGCCAGGGGATCTGAGCAAAAAAAATCCCGCATGCTCGTTACGTTTTTCCGCCCTGAATGTTCGAGCAGGGGATTGTTTTCTGTAGATATAGACGGATTGTCAGTGATCCTTCTTGTCCTTTGAGAATGATTTTTTTCTTTCTGACTACAACTTATTTCAAAGACTTCGAATGTTCGGTGAAAAGCCGACACTTTTAATTCTGCAATGTTTCAAGATGTTTCGATTTCATTACCTCGTCACGAAGTAACGCCAGATAGGACCAGACGAAACTGGTGCAGCAAATCTGGACTAAAGCACCTGAGAGACGTGTATGTAACATTTGTTCACTATCCTTTATCCTTGTTGAGTCTTGTTTCACCTACAAGTTGGACCGATCGAAGTTTTGAACTAACTCTTTTGCTCCTTGTGTTTACTCAAGCGTTCCATAAAATATAAATTCCAAACGTCCATAAATAACACAGAAAACATGCCTCAGGTGACACGTTCTAACAATTCCGCTATTAGTATCGATAATGACGCATCTGATTTGTGACTTCTCGTCAACTTTGTGCTATTTTTGTTTAAAAAAACGAATGTTACGTTTCTTCCAATTTTGGTCAAATGACAAATAAGCGTCAAGTCAGATGTACATAATACGTCATTACTGATAAAGTATGGGATTGCCCAAATATTTTATGATTGATTTGATAACCTTAAAGATGTCTTTCAAAGAATATGTGAGAATTAAGTACATAGGTTGTTGCTCATGGGAGATGTTAGCCACTAAAATACCTTAAATTTAGGGTTTGGTCAAAACAGTGAGAAGATGACCTTACTTTAGGCTAAATAATAGGAAGAGATCGAATTAGAGAGTAAAAATAAATTACT